GTCCCGGAAGCAGTTTCGATGCCTACGATCCACGGAGCGAAGCGAAGTAATGTTTATCCTGGCCTAGCGAAGCTGAAAGCGAAGCGAACTTGCAGTGACCTGTTTGTGCTTTTATTTGTGTCCTTGTGCTCAGGGCCATGACATGATCTTTTCTTTGATGCTGATTTTGCAATCATGATTTTTCCTGCATGTTTTCCATGAAGCAAATTTTTGAATTCATGTCTGCGCCGGTGGAAGGCTCAATCAATTGAGCTGAGGAAAATTTTTCAAAGCCTGGGGGCCGTCCAATTGAGATCTCGGGGCCTGCATCTAACAACTTCGTTGCTGTGCCATGAGCTCTGACGAAGAGACTGTGATCCGCGAGACCGCGGCTGACCGTCGTGCCGCTGCTGCCGGCACTTTGGTAGGCCTCCTGGAGTCCGTTGCCCCCAGCACTCCTCCTGCTGCCTTGGCGAGCGCTAGCAGTGTGGGCCGACTTCAGCCCTTGCTTGACAGCATCAGTGATCTTGAACTAGCGCATGCGCGGCTGCAGCGAATCAATGCCTTGCAAACTGCCGCCCTGGACGAGTTCAATCAGAAATGGTCTGTGCTCAAGGATGTGGTGGCGAGCATTGCTGGCAGCCGCGGGCCTCCAGCGGCAAGTCGCAGTCGCTCCCCTCGGCGGTGATCTCTGCTGCTGCTATCGCAAGGGCTCAGTTTTGTAGTTTTGGGCTTTGCTTCTTACCTTTTGCTGCCGGCCGCAAAAATTTTCAGGAGTGCTCCGTGTGCATGTTTTCTGCCAGCTTTTGTGTGTCCCGACTTTGCGTCTTCGTTGCAGCTTCGCTTGGGGTCCACAGTTAGCTTCTTGTGCGGGGGATGTCTGCTGAAGCTTTGTACCCGGGGGCTCCGGCTGAGACTGGACTTGAAGATGGCATCTCGCAGCTTGCTATCCCTGCTAGTCCGATCAGCCCGGAGTCGCAAGTGCAAGGTCTCGATGAGGACACTCAGGACGAGGGGCCTCTCACTCAGGCCCAGGTGGGGAGCCTCATGGCTCGAAGCGACTGCTCGGAAGCCGAAGGAGGCTCCGAGCAGCAAGTGGAGAAGCAGCTCGAGGGATACATGCCTTTTTCCACCGGGCCAGGAGAGTGGCATGCTATGAATGCGGGTCTGGTTTTGGCTAGGAATGCTTCAAGGCCTATGCCCTGGGATAGACAAGTCAGGCCTCGTTTCCGCGTGGGCAGCATCTTCCAAGAGCCGTTGCTTGGCAGGTTTGATGGCCTCAGGAGGGTGAGTCTTCCAGCATCGGCGGCCGGGCCCTGGGCTTGGGTGCCCAAAGGCACTTACGAGGCTCGGAGGTTGCTGGCCGCGAGGTTTGCGAAGAGCGATGACATGCTTAGGTTAGCAGCTCTTAAGAAGATCCGCTTGATTGTTCTTTTCTTTCCCGATGACTCGGAGCTGGGGCGAAATCTCATTAGCTCTGCAGGGTCACTGGTTGAGGAGACAGTGCTCGCTTCGACCATCGAGGACACTTTTGCGGGACGAGCGGCAGGCACCATGATGAAGAGGGCTTCTGACTTTTCTCGCTTTGCTAAGTGGATTGTTGCGAACAAGGGCAGGCCGCTGGCTCCCACGGAAGGAGAGTTGTATGCATACATGCTTCATTTGAGGAGGTCAAAAGCAGGGGCAACAGCCGGGGAGTCTTTCATCAAAGCTCTCAGGTTTTTCTCGCATCTTACCGGTGCGGCCAATGCTTCGAGGGCTTCACCGCGCGTGGAGGGCGCGGCGAAGGCTATGTCTATGTGCAAGAGGCCTCTTTGGCAGGCTCCGGCCCTGCCCGTGGAAGCAGTAAAGCTGATCGAGGACTATGTGCACGAAGAGCTTGACCCCGGCAAGGCTGCAATAGGAGGCTTCATCCTTTTCTGTCTTTATTCCTCGTCGCGGTGGTCCGATGCTGCGCGGGGATCAGACTTGAAAGTGGCCTTGTTCTCCTCGAGTGCTCTACTAAGCATTACAAGACCAAGGCGAAGGATCGGAAGGATGCAGTTCTTCCCCTCATCGCTTTGGGGTCTGGCTTGACTCAACCCTCTTGGGGCCGAGCCTGGATGCGGAAGAGGCAGCTAGCTGGGCTTCAGGACAGTACTTGCGTGATGCCGGCCATGTCCCCGGGGGGACAATTCCTTCAGAGGCCCATGACCGCTGCCGAGGGCTCTTTGTGGTTGAGGGAGATTCTTCACACGCAAGGTTTCAAGGGTGATCTTGAACAGTACAGCTCCCACAGTCTTAAAGCGACTGCTCTTTCATGGACAGCAAAGAGCGGGACCATGACATACGAGGAGCGCCTCACCCAGGGTCACCATTGCAGCCCCAAGCATGGCATGGCTTTGCTCTACTCGAGGGATGCTCTGGCAGAGATTCTCACCAAGGTTGCCAGGGTAGTCAGTGCAATTGGGCGGGGTGTGATGAACCCAGATTTGCCCCGCGCCGAGAGGATAGCCCAAGCTTTGGAGGTCAGTGCCGAGGATTATCGCCACCTTCCGGAAACACAGCCGGATGAGCTTCCAGCTGAGGACCCGCAAGACGAGAACGTTTCCGAGGCGGGCTCCGATGTCACCAACCTGGATGACCTCGAGGCAGAGCTAGGA